AAGCAGATTGGTCTTTGTACCAAACACATCCTTTCAATATGAACGGCACTGTACATGAATCAGTAATAGAGATCACAAATGGCATCATTGAGGCAGCGGAGGGTAGTATCCCCAAAACAGCCAGTGCAGTCCGTGGTCCCAATAGGGTACCTTGGTGGAACCGCGAACTTGATCATGCAATACAGAAGAAAAAACAAGCTTTTACCCAATTCAAAAGATGCCCAACACTATCTAATCTTATCAAGTTTAAAAAATGTAGAGCGAAAGCCCGTCACTGATTCTGATGAGTAAGACTCGTCCTGGAGGGAATTTTGTATCACTATATCTAGAACTCTACTTCCCGATTCTGAGATTTGGAAGAAGATTGGATTATTATCGGGAAAACGCTTCCCTATTCCATCACTGTCCTGTTGATCAATGATAAAGAAATACAGACAATCAAGAGATTGTTAATGTCTTGGCACTTGAATTCCAGAATAACTCAAATTCTTCCAACTATTCACCTAAATTTTTAACCAAGAAAGTTGAAGAGGAAACCACACACCTTGATTTTACTGAAGACAGGGTATCTGCATATAACTTGCCTTTCACGTTGGAGAGAAATGGAAAGTGCACTAAGTGAGGTCCACAACTCCTGCTCCAGGGCCAGATTCTATACACTATGAAATGATTAGACACTTACCTGCAACAGAAAGATGAATTTGCTAACTCTTTATAACAAAATTTGGGCAGAGGGTATATACCCCCAACAATGGCACGAGGCTGTGATCATTCTGTATTAAAACCTAATAAGATCCAAAGAACCCTGGCAGCTATCGCCCATATATCTTTAACATGTTGCCCAAGCAAAATATTTGAAAAAATGGCAAATAGGAGATTAGTATGGTTCCTGAAGCACGGAATTTACTTTCAAATCATCAAATGGGCTTTCGGCGTCACCGATCCACTATTGACCATTTAATCTATTTTGAATCAGCTATTCAGACAAGTTTGCTAACCGAAATCACATGGTGGCAGTCTCTTTCGATTTAGAAAGGGCATATGATCGAACATGGAGGCACGGAATTCTGAAGACCCTATACTCTTGGGGACTCAGAGGCAACCTATTAACTCTCATATCAAATTTCATGGAGGACCGTTTGTTCAAAGTTCGCATAGGAATGAGCTCTCACATGCCTATACACAGGAAAACGGCATCCCTCAAGGATCGACGCTAAGTGTGACACTCTTTATAATAGCTGTGAATCCCCTTGTTGAGACGATTGAACCTCATATAGGCAAATGTCTATATGTGGACGACCTCACTATATTCTTCTCTGCAAAGGACCTAATAGAAATCGAGGAGAACTCTACAAGCAGCAATAAATCATCTTACGAATACCCGCTGAGAGTCTCGGTTTTCAATTCTCCCCCGTAAAACGGCCTGTATAGACTTTTGTAGGCTGAGAACTCACACACTAATCCTCGACTGTCACTAAATGGACATCTGATACAGTGTAAAGATACTCTTGATCTTTCTGGGGCTAACGTTCGATCCAAAACTTCACTGGGGTCCTCAGATTGAAAAAATCCTTGTTAGGTGCAAGAAGTCCATGAACATTATCAAATGTATCTCTAACATCCAGTGGGGAGCCAGTCGGGAAGTCCTTCTGAAATTATATCAATCTTGGTCCTTTCGAAATTGAGTATGGTCTAATTGTGTTTGCATCAGCACGTAAGTCTCATATTGCGAAACTGGAAATACTTCATAGAGATGGTCTAAGACGATGTATTGGTGCCTTTAGGACAAGCCCTTCAGATTCAATATACTGTGAAGCTGGAATGCCACCTCTGAAATACAGATACAGCAACTTAGCCTCAACTATGCAATAAAAATTGCAGCACAGCCTCTGCATCTCAATAACTCTATCATTTTTAATGAGGAAACGGAAGAACTCTTCCATGACAGACCAACCGCCACCCGCCCCTTTGGAATCCGGGGTCAATGAAATACTAGCGGGCCCTAGGTATCGATCTGCCAGATGTGGATAACTTGATGTTACCTGATCTACCACCATGGACATTAACAACACCTTTGACCGATACCGAAATGACTCGATACAAAAAGGGACAATTTGTAAGGAGGCTATAATCGAGCTTTTTTGAACATTATTGCAAAATACCAACCATGCAAGATTATTTATACTGATGGATCGAAGACTGCTGAGGGAGTTGGTTGTGCCATAGCCTTTGAAGGATTTTGTCGTGGATGGAGTTAAACTCGTCATGTTCTATATACTTCGCCGAACTTTTCGCCATCTTTCAGGCTCTTAACTATATAAAAGGTTTAGCAGGAGGTAAGTACCCTTATCTGCAGCGACTCTCTCAATGCCATATTGGCTATCAAACACAAGTACTCAACAGATCCTCTCCTCATAAAGACGTTGAGTCTCCACCATAAGTTGTATCAAGAAAATAAACACGTTACTTTCATCTGGAGCCCAGGGCACTCTGGAATTCATGGAAATGAACTGGCTGATCAAACAGCACGCCAAGCAATTTTATTGGACGTAACAGGTGTACACTTCAGCTAGAAGATGCTAAAGAAGCTATGAAGGAAAATGTCCTCCACTCATGGCAGGAAGAATGGAACCTCTCGAATAAATTTTTGAAAACGTTCAAGCCAAGCATAAAAAAATGGAGCCTTCCACATATGACACGTAGAGAACAAGTAGTAGTTACGAGAATGAGAATAGGGCACACATTTCTTACTCACTCCCATATGCTATTAGGTAATCCACCACCAAGATGTGAAACATGTAATAAATTGCTCTCATGGAAGCATATACTGTTTAAGTGTCCTTTATACCTAGCTGCTAGAACAGCACATAACCTAGCTCTGGACTTAGAAAGTTGCTTTCTCACTACTGCCAACATAGGTTCTACACTTGATTTTCTTAAATCTACCAAACTTTTTAGAAAAATATAGTGCAATTACGTAGGATCCTACTAAATACATATACGTAAACTGATGATCTATGATTGATTAAGAAGTACTAACGTCGGATATGTAATTAAATGCTTGTGTATCCACGATCATGTATACTTATTTTATTAGTGTCCTTGTCTGGACTAAGTTAATTATATGTCTGTGTATAAGATATAATATGTGTGTGCGTATACATGTGTAGATTTTTTTTTTGTTCTTGTCTTTTTTTTTTGTGTATTGAAATCTGAGCTACTTACATGACATCTGAGTCACCCAGATCTACCCCTGTGGTGAAAGTGGCAATTGACCGTATGGGCAGGAGGGAAGCGGCTATGGCATAGTAGCCGATGCCGCTGTGGGCAAAAAAAAAAAAAAAAAAAAAAAAAAATAGTAATGCAATAATAATTCATTATAATAATATAATAATATAATAATAATAATAATAGTATATAATAAAATAATAATTATAATAATAATATATAATAATAATAATAATATAATAAGAATAATAATTATAATAATAGTAATAATATAATATTATAATAATAATATCATAATAATAATTAATAATAATAATCTATATATTATATATAATAATAATAATAATAATAATGTATATATAATATAATAATAATATAATAATAATAATAATATTAATAATAATAATTATATCAATAATAATAATAATATATAATAATATAATAATAATCATAATAATAATAATAATATAAAATATAATAATAATAATAATAATATATATAATAATAATAAGGCCCCGCAGGGGGTATCTACTTTTGAAGCTGGATCTTTGATCCGGTTTCAAGGGAAGATACATGGGGAGCGTCGCCCCCACGGCCCCAGGCAGGGAGTTCGGGGTTTGGTAGTCTTATTCATTCTGCCAAACCCTGGGCTTTTCCTTCCCCCTTTCTCCCATCCTTCTCCTTTTTTATATCCTGTGCAGCTGTCCGCTGCCCTCACGACTTTCCTTGTCCTTTCCTTACTCCATGCGTTGAGGCGGCGCGGCGTGGGGCTTCCTCTTAGCCTCCCGGGTGTTTGTGCCGTGCCCGGCGACCCGTAAGCTGGCCAATGGAATCCTGGTGGTTGAGCCCTACCAGTCAGGGGGGCAACACGCCACTTTGGTCCGGCGGTCAGTCTAGAAGGGCGGCCGCGCCTAGCCCAGCGTCGGTCAATCGGCTGTGCCATCCCGTCAGAGGGCTGGCTGGGCGAGCCTTCGCATTGCGAAGAAAGCAGACAGGTGTGGATTATTTCTACCCTTGGCCATGCCGGACCGCAATGCGAAGACTATACTTTCCTTCAGCAGCCCTGGTGTCCATGTCCCGAACTATGTTTGCAGGCATGGCATCCCCAATGAGGACTCCGTGGCGGGTGGGGAGCTGGGAAGGTGAAGCATTTTGAAATTCGCATGGATGAAATACAAACCAAAAACCCACCCAGAAATGGGAAAGCTACCGCGCAAGCGGCCACGGCCAGCCAGAGAAAGGAGGGAACCATCCCCCGGTTTCTGGTGGTCGAACGGATTGATGGGGGTAACTTTGATAAAGTAAGCCCCTTTGTTGTGTCAAGAACATTATTTGGAATTGCTGGGAACCTGAAATTAATAAAGAAAATCAAATCTGGGCTACTGTTGGAAACCAGTACCGCAACCCAGGCAAACAGACTTTTGCAAACACAAAGAGTTGGAGATTATAATGTTGTAGTTAAAGCGCATTCCACGCTTAATTACTCCAAAGGAATTATTACTTGTGCTGATCTTTTGAACTCCACTTTGGAGGAAATATTGGACGGCCTGAAAACAGAAGGAGTTATTGACGTAAAACGTATGATGCGTAGAAGAGGTGAGGAACTTATAGAAACACCAAATCTCATTCTCACTTTTGATAGACCCAATCTACCTAATAAAATTAAAGCTGCCTTCTACCACCTTGATGTTCGCCCTTACTACCCAAGCCCTTTGCGGTGTTTCAAATGCCAGAAATTTGGTCATACATCCCAGAAATGTCCTAATACCGAAATGTGTACTTGTGGTCAACCCAATCACCCAGGAGAGCCGTGCAATGAACATAAGAAATGTATCAACTGTGAAGGACAGCATGCTGCTGATTCTAGAGAATGTCCGCGGATGAAGGAAGAAGTTGCCATCCAAAGAGTGAGGACGCTAGAAAAAATTAGTTATCTGGAGGCAAAAAGGAAAGTAATTAGCTCATCTCCCCGGGTGTCATACGCTCAAGTTACCGCTACCCCAAGTGCTACAGTTAATAAACTTGTTGAAGAACTCTTCCTCTGCTTTCAAAAACGATAGAAACACAGATTAAACAAACCTTTGATAAATTTGTAAATAGACCAGTACGGACATTGACACCTTTAAATCTACCTCCTCCTAACCAATACCTATCGGATACGTCTACTCAACCATCTCTTTCAGAAAAGAGGAAACGTACTGTTATCCAAAAGGATAATGCGGATGATCCCGCAGACGATACTGACGAAAGCTTTCGTCACAAGCCAGCGGAACATCCTCACTTGCTAAGAAAAAAAAGGGATGGCCGAAGGGAAAACCCAGAAAGCCTCCAGATGATAAGACGATTAGTTCCGATGTAATTGATCTCAACTAGCATTACGTAACGATGACTTCTGTGATATTACTTTGCAAAATGCATTTTTATCCATATTTTTTATACATAGTTATATTTATATCTTTTTATACTCATATATATATATACACCTTTTACTTATAGTTACACTTATTTTTCACACAATGTGTTCTATAGTGCAATGGAATATTAATGGATATAAAACGCACCACCCAGAATTGAAATCACTTCTGTTAAATGAGGCACCAATTTGTGCATGCCTTCAAGAAACGCATCTAGCAGATTCAGACAGCATAAACCTACGTGGATATACATGTTACAGGAAAAATGGCATTAGGAATATTCGTGCCAAAGGCGGCGTCGCGACCCTTATAAAAGAAGATATCCCATCTAATGAAATCATGGTTGACTCACAATTGCAAGCAATCGTAGTACAAATCTTCCAGCCAGTTAAACTAACTATATGCAACATCTATCTCCCAGACTTCAGCTGGGAATCAAGACAAATGCGGCAACTTTTTTTCAGTTGCCTACACCTTGTGTCATACTGGGCGACTTCAACGCCCATAACCCATTATGGGGATCAGAGAAACTTGATATGCGAGGCCGCCTTATAGAAGATATCATCAACGAATATAACCTGGTGGTTTTGAACTCAGGATCAGGTACCTTCCTAATATCCGCTCTCTTAAACTTAGCGCTATAGATCTAACAGTTTGCAGTCCTGAAATTGCACATCTGTTTACTTGGGAAACAATGGACGATCAATTCTCAGATCATCTGCCTATTAGAATAAAATGTGCGACCCGATGTTCAAACTTCTATTCCTCCCCAAAATGGCAAATTAAAAAGGCAAATTGGAGTAAGTTCCAAGAAAACATCAAACCCTTGAGTTTAAAGAATCTGTCGAAGAATCTGTGCAACAGCTCACCGAAAATATCTTGGACGCTGCTAAAGTGAGTATCCCTGTTTCAGGTTATACCTCTCCCATTAATATAAAGCCCAGAGTGTCTTGGTGGAATGATAGATTAGAAAGAGCATTGAAAGAAAAACACCATGCACTTAACATATTTAAAAGATACCCTACACAAGAAAATCTTATACGCTTCAAAAAATGTAGAGCTAATGCGAGGAAAATTTTACTCAACAGCAAAAAAGCATCGTGGAAAAATTATGTTTCCTCAATAACCTCTGAGACCCCGACTTCAGAAATTTGGTCAAAGATAAGAGCTATAAGTGGAAGATCATTAACTCTACCAAGTTCTATTCTCATCGTTAATAACCAAGAAATATCCGAAAAGAACGAAATCTTGAATACTTTGGCACAACGATTTCAAATAAATAGTGGGACTGAAAGATATGCTGACAACTTCATCCAACAAAAAAATGAAGCAGAAGAAGTGGGAATTGACTTCGACGAGGAAAATATATCTGAATATAACCTTCCTGTAACTTTGGATGAACTGGAGTACGCACTCGCTGAGGTCAAAAGCTCTTCACCTGGTCCAGATACTATACACTATGAAATGATACAACACTTACCTGTAAGTGAAAAACAAAAACTACTAGAACTATATAACAAAATATTGATAGAAGGTACTTACCCAAAACAGTGGCAAAACGCAATCATCATTCCTATCCCGAAAGCTGGTAAAGACAGTAAGGATCCCAATAACTACCGCCCCATATCTCTAACATGCTGCCCAAGTAAAATACTAGAAAAAATGTTAAACTTAAGGCTTATATGGTACCTAGAGAAACATGGATTATTGTCAAAATATCAAATGGGTTTTCGTAGGTATAGATCAACAACAGATCAGCTAGTCTATCTGGAAGCAGCCATTCAAAAAAGCTTTGCTAAAAGGCAACATACAGTAGCAGTATCATTTGACATTGAAAAAGCATATGACACTACATGGCGGTTTGGCGTACTAAAACACTGCATGAATGGGGAATAAGAGGATACATACTACGTTTCATTGCAGGCTTCCTAGAACACAGGTATTTTAAAGTACGTATTGGAAAAGAACTTTCAGCATCATACAGACAAGAGAACGGTATTCCCCAAGGTTCAACTCTAAGCGTGACCCTTTTTCTTGTGGCTATAAATAAGCTAATCGAAAAAGTGCCAATAGAAGTCGGGAAATGTATATACGTTGACGACTTAACAATATTTTTACTGCAGACAAAATGGAAGATATAGTAGGTACTTTGCAGACATCCATAAATACATTAGCTTACGAGGCCGAAAAAATGGGTTTCTCCTTCTCTCCACAGAAATCAGCATGCATACATTTTTGCAGGCTAAGGAGACATCATGACCCACCAGCTCTGACTTTGAAAGGCACACCAATAGCTAACAGACACCATATAAACATATTAGGCATTACCTTGGATGATAAATTATACTGGAAGAATCATATAGAGGAACTCGTAATCAAAAGTAAAAAGGCCTTAAATATTATTAAATGTCTCTCAAGCATCAGTTGGGGAGCAGACAGGGATGTGTTGCTCTCATTATATAAATCAATAGTCATGTCCAAGTTTGAGTATGGAGCAATAGTATACTCAGCAGCAAGACAATCCCATCTAAGTAGATTAGAGAGAATACACAAGGAGGGTATACGGTTATGCATTGGTGCCTTCCGGACATCACCGAATGCGTCCGTTTTTTGTGAATCAGGCATACCTCCCTTAAGCTACAGAATACAGCAGCTGCTACTGAACTATAGCGTAAAAATATGGGCACAACCCCAGCACCCTAACCACAATATATTATTTGAGGAAGAAGAAATTTCAATTTATCGGTCTAGACCATCCATCACAAAGCCCGCAGGTGCCCGCATCCATAAGCTACTCGAGGATTTAGAAACTCAGATGCCCCCAACCTATAGTCTTAAATACATAGATTGCCCTGTATGGAGGCTGTCACTCCCAGAAGTTAACTTCGAATGCGCCAAATACAAAAAAGGCCACACCAATCCTACATTTTATAAACAGACATTTCTTGATATAATTGGTAAATACCAAAACGTAAGGAGAATAATTTATGCGGATGGGTCTAAAACCGAAGGGGGCATAGGATGTGCATTAACAACTACGGAGATAACCCGCAAATGGCGCCTAAGTCCAATGGCCTCAATTTTCTCAGCGGAATTATACGCAATACTTCAATCCCTAAAATTGATTGATGATGAGGAACAGGGCTTATACATAATCTGCAGTGACTCTTTGAGCTCACTGCAAACTATTTCTGACAAATTCAGTAAAAACCCCTTAGTTCAGAGATTCTCTTGACCACCTACCAGCTCCAACAGAAGAAATCACAGGTCATATATGTGTGGACGCCAGCACACGTAGGAATCCATGGAAATGAAATAGCAGATACAGCTGCCAAGGAAGCCACAATGGAAGAATACCTCAACATACCAGTCGTGCCTGAAGACGTGAAAAAATTCATGAGGTTGCAGCTACTTAATGAATGGCAGCAAGAATGGAACTCAACAAACCATTTTTTGAAGACGATCAAGCCGAACGTAACAAAATGGAATCTTCCCCATCTGACTCGTAGAGAGCAGGTCGTAATTACGCGAATGAGAATAGGTCACACAATTCTTACACATTCCCACATACTTTTAGGTAATCCACCACCAAGGTGTGAGACGTGTAATGAATTGCTTACTTGGAAGCATATACTGATCGAGTGCCCATCATACATAGCTGCTAGAAGAGCACACAACATAGCTGGTGATTTAAAAGGTTGTTTATCCTCTAATGCCAACGTAGGAGATACATTGAATTTCCTTAAATCTACCAAGCTTTTCCGTAAAGTATAACGTTATTAAATAAGATACTACTATGTAGAAATATATTAGATAGCTGTAGGTCTATGATAGATAAGGAAGCACTGGTGTCGGATAAGTAAGTAAATACAGGGTACCACGCGTATGGGGTATTCTTATTTACATTTTTTTTTCTGTGTTTGTCTGTAATAAGTTAATTTATATGTTTGTTCTTCTTTTTTTATGTATTCAAAAAATCTGAGCTACATCACATAACATCCGAATCACCCAGATTTACCCCTGTGGTGAATGTGGCAATTGACCATATGGGCAGGAGGAAAGCGGCTAATGGCCTTAGCAGTCGATGCCGCTGTGGGCTTAAAAAAAAAAAAAAAAAAATAAAAATAATAATAATAATAATAATAATAATAATAATAATATAATAAGAATAATAATAATAATAATAATAATAATAATAATATAATAAAAAATAATAATAATATATATAAATAATAATAATAAAATAAGAATAATAATAATAATAAAAAATAATAAAATAATAATAATAATAATAAAAAATAATAATTAATATAATAATAAAATAATAAAATAAAATAATAATAATAATATAATAATCATATAATATAATAATAATAATATAATAATAATACTAATAATAATATATATAATAAATAATAATATCATAATAATAATAATAATCATAATATAATAATATATAATAATAATACTTAATCATAATATCATAATAATATATATAATAATAATAATATAATATCATAAAAACTAATACTTAATAATAATAATAATAATATATCCTATATAATTAATATAATAATACCTCCGCCGGGGGTATCTCTTTTGAAGCTGGATCTTTGATCCGGTTTTCCGGGCTACATGGGGAGCGT